TTAGAGGAACTGATACAATATCTTGCCCTTAACTTGACTGTCTGTATCCCACATCAAATCAGCCTTAATGTCAACATTTATCAGCCTTGGAATTGTGTAAATGAAATAAATACCGACAACGAACGGAAAAGAAATGACCTGTGTTAAAAATGTACTTGCTGTGCAGGCTTGTGTACTGGGGCTTTGAATGCCGCTTGGCCTCTGGCTTCCTGGGCCGCCAGGCGGGTACCGACCGCCTCCCCGGGTACCTTCGGGAGGCCTGTGGGCTCACCGTGCGTCCCCGCGACCCTAACCCCGTGGAGAAGCCCCGCGGGGTCGCTCTACCTTTATTTTGCCATGTGGGCTTCAGGCGCGCCCTGCTGCTGTCATGGCCTTTGGTTCGCCTCTTGGAAGGCCTTGCCCCAGTCTCCTGGCGTCCTGGTGCCCGCCAGCCCGTGGAGGCGAGCGGAGCAGCCGGCCGGGCTGCGGGGCTGTGGCAGCCGCTGGGGACTGGGGCGCTGACCTGGACCGGGTGTCCCCGCAGGGGGTCGGCCTGGTGTCCCTGAGGGGCTGCACCGGCTGCCTCCAGCCTCCCCCGCCCGGCCGCCCCACGGCCTGCGGCCCCGTGCCACCTGTGCGGGGGACCTAGCCCGCGGCCAGGACGTCCTGGGGCCACCCCTCCGCGGCCTCCCTTGCCAGCAAGTGCAGTGTTCCCGGAGTGGTCACACGCCCGGGCTTTAGGGCAGTGGAGGTGGGGGAGGGAGCGCGCTGCGCTCTCCACCGAGGTGACACTACCAGTATCCTCGGAAAAGCATTCCTAGGGCAGCAGGACCTTTCAAGTGTCCCCTGCAGAGGGCTTCTTGCTTTGCAACCTCCTGCTCCCTGCAGGGGGGAGGAGAGCTCTCTCCCCTTTCTTCTGCCTGAGGCCCGTCGCTGGGAATTCCAGAACATTGGTGATTGTGCCTTGTGCTCTTAGACATAAGGGCCACCCGGGCTAGGCTGTGCGCCAGCTCACCCAGGCCAGTGTCAGTCTACACTTCATTTCCTCGGGGATTTTGCGGTCCTGGTTCACCAGATTCCGAGCGGGGAGCACGAGTGGTAAGTCAGGCAGAGCTTCCCTAGGAAAGGATCCTGGGTTCTATGCAGCAAATAGGGCAGATAATGAAAAATAAAGCCCCAGGTTTTATTCTGAGTAGGAGAAAGCTTTCAGACCAATGATCATTGCCCATGACGGCCTGCATGCCTGGCCCTGCCTGGAACCCGAGACCAGCACTGCCATTTCCAGGCCCCAGGTTCTCAGAGAGGACTCAGTGGGGCGGCATCAGTCCCTCCCCAGGCCTGTCAGGGACAGAGCTGCTTCTGGGAAGGAGAAGACGAGAGAGAGAGAGAGAGAGAGAGAGAGAGAGAGAGAGAGAGAGAGAGAAGCAGGAGGACAAAGAGAGAAACTCCGAACTCTCACAGCCAAGGCCTTTTCAGAACTGGAGTGTGTGGTCCTCATTCCCCATGATCCCTAGAAAAGCATCTGGCCCACACCAGGTATTCAGTAAAGTCTGTTATAGTAAAGAAGGAACCCTGTGGGAGACCCCAGAGCAAGCTGACCCTCTCCACGCCTTCATCTGTACAGTATTCCAGCTCCCAAGGAGCCAGTACAAACGGTGGCGATCTTAGCTCTCAATAGCAGGGAAGATGGTGGATGGTCTCCCTAACTTACTGTTACAGATTTCCTCTCTCTCTCTCTCTCTCTTTTTTTTTTTTTTTTTTTAAGATTTTGTTTATTTACTCATGAGAGACACAGGGAGAGGCAGAGACAGGAGAAGCAGGCTCCATGCAGGGAGCCTGATGTGGGACTCGATCCTGGGACCCCAGGGTCACAACCCAAGCCAAGGCAGACGCTCAACTCCTGAGCCACCCAGGGATCCCAGATTTCCTCTTTTTAGGCCTCGGTTTTAACATCTGAAAACTTGGTCAGTTTCTCATTCAAGGGCATTCCCTTTACTCTTGCTCCGAAAAATGAAAAACTGACATTTACAAAGCCCATCTGTTCATAAACATTACCTCCTTTTGATCCCACAGTGATCCTGTGATGGGGGATCTGTAATCCCCATTCTGTGGATGAAGGAACTGAGGCCTGGAGCAGTCAGTAAACTGTCTAAGGACATAGAAACTTGAAAGTGTCCGTGGCCTTGGAGACTCCAAGTCTAGGGGCAGCCAGTCGCCAGGGTGTAGGTCCCGGATCAGTCAGTCGTTCCACAAACTATCTTCTCCACCACTTTAGACAACACAGGCCCCTGAGCCAGTCCCATAAAGTGGCCAAAGGCTGCCTTCCCCCACCTCCCCTCCCACTGGTGGGAGAGCTTGTCCTCTTGCCTTTAGACACCACACAGGAAATCAATCACCACATTCATTCTGGACCATCAGCATTTTCCCCCAGGAGAAAGTTAGAAGCAAGGAGACTAATGTCTCATTGATCTTTCCAATTGCTAAAGGGGAAGAGAGATGAATATAATCCCATCTGTCAAGGCGGAGAAGTGCCCATCTGAAAGCAGTGTGGATTACTTTAAGGAGATAACAGTTTATCACTCTCTGGACAAGCGAATATGAAATTAGGACTAACCTCCTTTCAGAGTGGGTGGAAACATCCATCAGCAAGGAGGATGTCTAGGGAAAGAAGCAGCAAGTTCTCTGGCCTTTTTCCTTGTCCTTTCCCTAAGACTTTATGTTTCTTGTATCCACACAACTGCACAAATAGGACAAGATCCTCCCTTGACCCCCAAGAAGTAGTTAACATTTGCTGGGGACTGATTATTGCCGGGGGCTGTACTAAATGTTTTATTCTTCCTCTCCAGCAGCTTTATGAGATGTTATTGTCAGCACCATCTTACAGATTTGGAAACTGAGGCTCAGAAGGTGGAGTGACTCACTCAAGGTTCCTTAGCTAGTGAAGGTGAATCAGGTGCAGCCTGGCTGCCCCTGTGCCTGCCCTCAACCCCACACAGTGTGTGCAGGTTACTGAGCCTGAAAAGTAGTCCAGATGGCCCTGGCTGGCTTTGAGACTGCTGTGCTTCAATCCACTCCACTCACTCCTTCCTCCGTCAGCACATTTGGTAGCCCTGCTCACCCTGAGGGGGAGGTGGCCTTTGCTGGTTGTAGTGGCTGAGCCAGGGCTGAGGGGCTGGACCATCTGGAGGCTCAGACTGGGCATCTGGAGAACTGAGACCCAGGGATAGGTAGAGGGGTGGGCAGGCCAGGCCCCAGACTTGCTAAAGCTCCTCCTGGTTATTGCCGTGCATGAATTTCCACGGAGGAGAGGAGGGGTGATGTCAGTGATGGTCTCTGGGCTAGTCAGAAGCTGAAACGTCCAGAATGCCCGGCCAGTGTGGGCTGCTGTGGCCACCAAGAGCCCAGGAGAACACAGTGACCAAGGGGCTAGGGAAGGTCTGGGAACAACACCAATGTGATTTCAAAAACCCAAAAAGGAACACATATACCCTAGATCTTCAGAAAACCCACGTCTCAGCATTAAATTTTGACCCTTCACTTCAACCAGGGGCAGAAGCACTCTCTAGAGTGAGGAGCCCCAAGAGAGGGGCTTCACCACCAGCCCTCCCTGGAGATGCTCGCTGACAAAGCCAAGGTTATTCGAGGGCTGCGGGTCTCATGCTCTGTGGCCAGAAGTAAGTTTTCTAATTAATACCACTTTGGGTCAGACAGAGATGGCTGCTCTGTCTCAGGCTTGTTTGCTGTTTATCCCCGTGATTGATGCTGGTAACATTTAGAGTCTGTCAGGAAGATATTTCACAGATGCCCCATGTGGTTGGATTGAGACAGCCAGGAAATGTGATTCCCCAGTTAAGGCAGCATCAAAGATGGTCTGAAGTGTAGATGGAGAGGCCCAGTACCTTTCTAGCCTCTTGTGGAGTAGGGAAAGGGGGAAAAGTGGAGGTGGGGGTTTGGGAAGTGCTGTAGGATCCTGGAGCTGTAACAGGGACCCCCCCAGAAAGGGCTGTGAGGAGAAACAACATGAGAGGCAAGGGTTTTTCCTAGGTTTTCTTGTGTGAAAGTATCACATCTGTGTTGGCTGTTAGATTTTGCTGGCTAAGACACACAAGAAAGGAAGCCAACGGGAAGGAAATCACCGTTCCTGCTGTTCCTGGGGTCTTAAGTGTCCGCCATAGATCTCCATTTCTACCTACCAGAAGCCACCCATTAATCAGAATGCTGATCTCAAAAGTGGAAAGGTTTTTGAATCCCCCCAACCAGAAGTGATCTTCACCCAGATACGCATAGCACTTTGTACGTTACCATCAAAGCATAATGTTCAAACGTTTAAAAACATGGCTCTCATTAAACACGGAATAAGCACGTTTCAAACATTTAGTAACTTGTGAGTGAGGGAACCAGTAAGGTGGCAAAGCTGGTTTGAAGAGCATTTTGAGGAACTGGGTATTTATAAGCACTTTTTAAAAGGAAATGTTTGAGTAAAATTTCCAGGTTAAAAACAAAACTGGGGATCCCCGGGTGGCTCAGTGGTTTAGCGCCTGCATTCGGCCCAGGGGGTGATCCTGGAGACCTGGGATTGAGTCCCACATCAGGCTCCCTGTCTGGAGCCTGCTTCTCCCTCTGCCTGTGTCTCTGTCTCTGCCTCTGTCTCTGTGCGCCTGTCATGAATAAATAAATAAAATCTTAAAAAGAATAAAAAAATAAAAACAAAGCTGGTTTGCCCTCACATATGTGGCCAAATTCTATATATATAATATATATATATATATATATATATATATATATTGCCAAATGATTTTTGACAAGAGGGCCAAAACCATTCCACAGTCTTTTGAACAAATGGTGTTGGGAAAACAATATCCACGTGCAAAAGAATGGAGTTGTATTCTCACCTTACACAGTATACAAAAATTAACTCAAATGGGTCAAAGAACTGAATGTAAAAGCTAAAACTAAAAACTCTTAGAAGGACACATACGGGAAAAGCTTCATGACATTTCATTTGGCAATGATTTCTTGGATATGACATCAAAAGCACAGGAAACAAATGAAAAATACATAAATTGCATTATAGGAAAATTAAAAACTTTTGTGGGGTGTGTGGGTGGCTCAGTAGGTTGAGCATCCTACTCTTGACTTCGTCTCAGGTCATGATCTCAGGGTCTTGGGCTGGAGCTCCAAATCAGGCTCTGTGATCAGTGGGGAGTCTGCTTGAGGATTCTTTCTCTTCCTCGCCCTCTGCTCCTCCCCTGGCTTGCACTCTCTTTCTGTAAAATAAATGAATCAATCTTAAAAAACAAAAACAAAAACTTTTGTGCATTAAAGGACACTATCAACAGAGTGAAAAGACAGCTCATGGGATGGGAGAAAACACTTGTCAGTCATATATCTGATAAAAGGTTAATGTTCAGAATACATAAAGAAGTCCTACAAGTCAATGACAGCAAACCAAATAACCTGATTTTTAAAATGGGCTAAGAACTTGAATAGACATTTCTCCAAAGAGGATGTACTGATGGCCAACAAGCACATGAAAAAGATGCTCAACGTCACTAATCATTAGGGAAATGTAGATCAAAACCACGATGAGATACCATCTTATATCGATTAGGACCAAAAAAGCCTAAAAAATACAAAACTGAAAAATAACAAGTATTGGCAAGGATATGGAGAAATTGGAACCTCATGCATTGTTTGTAGGATTGTAATATGGTACAGCCATTGTGGAAAACAGTATGGTGGTTCCTCAAAGATTAAACATAGAATTATTACATGATCCAGCAATTCCACTTCTGGGTATATATCTACAAGCACTGAAAGCAGGATCTTTTTTTTTTTTTTTAAAGATTTATTTATTTATTTATTTATTCGTGAGAGAGAGAGAGAGAGAGGCAGAGACACAGGAGGAGGAGGAGGGAGAAGCAGGCTCCATGCTGGGAGCCCGATGTGGGATTCTATCCCGGGTCTCCAGGATCGTGCCCTGGGCCAAAGGCAGGCGCTAAACTGCTGAGCCACCCAGGGATCCCCTGAAAGCAGGATCTTGAAGAGATATTTGCACACTCATGTTCATAGCATTATTTACAGTAACCAAAGTGGGGAAGCAACCCAGATGTCGACAGGTGGACAGATAAGCAAAATGTGGGCTATACACACAATGGAATATTATTCAGCTTTAAAAAAGAAAGACGTGGGATCCCTGGGTGGCGCAGAGGTTTGGCGCCTGCCTTTGGCCCAGGGCGCGATCCTGGAGACCCGGGATCGAATCCCACGTCGGGCTCCGGTGCATGGAGCCTGCTTCTCCCTCTGCCTATGTCTCTGCCTCTCTCTCTCTCTCTGTGTGACTATCATAAATTTAAAAAAAAATTAAAAAAGAAAGACGTTCCAATACAGCTACTATATGGATGAAACTTGAAGACAAAATAAACCAGTCACAAGAAGACAAATCCATATGATTCCACGCACATGAAGGGTGAGAGCAGTCAAATTCATGGAGACACAAGGTGGAATGCCGTTGCCAGGTCCTGGAGGAGGGAGGAATGGGGAAGTATTGTTTAATGGGCATTGAGTTTTGCAGGATGAAAAGTTCTGGAGATGGGACGCCTGGGTGGCTCAGTGGTTGAACATCTGCCTTTGGCTCAGGGCATGATCCTGGGGTCCTGGGATCGAGTCTCACATCAGGCTCCCCACGGGAGCCTGCTTCTGTCTCTGCCTGTGTCTCTGCCTCTCTCTCTGTCTCTCATGAATAAATAAATAAAACCTTTTAAAAAAAAAGGAAAGTTCTGGAGATGGATGGTGGTGATGGTTGCACAAGAATACAAATGAACTTTTTTTTTTTTTTTAATTTTATGATAGTCACAGAGAGAGAGGCAGAAACATAGGCAGAGGGAGAAGCAGGCTCCATGCACCGGGAGCCCGACGTGGGATTTGATCCCGGGTCTCCAGGATCGCACCCTGGGCCAAAGGCAGGCGCCAAACCGCTGCGCCACCCAGGGATCCCTACAAATGTACTTAATGCCATAGAACTGTACACTTTAGCATGGTTAAGATGGTAACATATTCTGTTAGGTATATTTTACCACAATTAAAAAATAAAACAAAACTGGTTGATGTTCTATAGGACAATTATAAAATCAATCTTTGGTGCTATATTTTCTATTCCATAGAAATTATTCATGTATATATATATTTTAAAGTTTATTTATTTATTTTTTTAGTAATCTTTACCCTTAGCATGGGGCTCAAACTTATGACCCCGAGACCAAGCATTGCATGCTCTCCCAACTGAGCCAGCCAGGAGCCCTGAAATTATTTACATCTTCACTAGACACCATCTACAAGTTCATATGCAACTTCAGAGTCTGAGCCCTTAATGGTAAATAGTCAAGTCCAACAAAACTCCGTCCCCTAGGTAATTAAGGAATCCCTGGGTGGGCTTGTGTAACAATGACCAAATGATGTTCGGAGGACATGGTGTCCTCTTGTGGCCTTATTTATAGTTTTTATTATTATTTTTTAACATCACAGTCTTTTATATCCTGCCTTTCCCACTCCTCCCTGAGGGCAGGGACTCTGTCTTACTCATTGTTGCCTCCTCACTCTGCTCTGGTTTATTGAACAGAACTGAGGAAAGCAACGTGGTAGGACGAGTTGGGAGCAGAGGACCTGTGTTTTCATTGTGCCTGTGACCATGACCGCTCCTGTAATTTCCTGGGGTCTTGATGTTCTCACCCACCAAATGATTGCACTGAAGTGCTGGGTGCTGTGCTGGGCACTGGGGATGCCATCTACTCTCTGGCTTCCCTCCCACCTCTCAGATGCTTGGATTCTTGCTTGGTCTGTCATCCACCCAAGAAAGGAGTTACTGATGCAAACATGCAGACAAAACATATAGTGAATAGATGAAAGGGCCTCTTTCGGGTGCGTGTGATACGCACAGGCATCTTCTAGTTTTTCTTGCAAGAGCCACCCATGATGCACGTGAGGTCTGTGGCCCAGGCCTCTCGTCTGGGAGGCAGATGAGGAGGTGCTGTCCTGTAGTTTCGCTAGACAGAGAGCAGCTGCTGTTTGCTAGTGGCAGGAATGCCTCCTCCCAAAAGCCTGGGGCCCCAAGCCGAGCAGGCCCTCTAGGGGGAGAGGACCCAGCCTCCACGTCTGCTTTTGAGAAAGGAGCAAATTACTGTTTTATTATGTATTCATGAGACGCTTAATGCTGTTTTCAGTTAATTTCTTGGGAAATTCTGGTTGTTCCTCTTCTTGTTTTTCTTAGGACAGGAGGAAGATGCTGGGTGATCCATTAAGAGGGTGAAATGCTGTGCCCAGGTGGGAGCTCTGGGTTCCTCTTGCTGAAGTTAACTTGAGTGCTTTGGAGTTACATTTACTTGGGAGAATGGGGCCGGGATTACTCCTTTTGGTGGGCGCTGCTGGGCCACACGGTGGGAAAAATAGTGGGCGTTGCCACGATTTTTCCCATGGTATGCAATGTCCCCGCAGGCCTTTGGGGCCATGCTCAGCCCTTTCCTGGCATCCTCTCTGTGTCCCATATGCCACTGCCGCAGTGGCTCAGCCACTTCTCTTGGCTGTGGGTCTCACCAAGTTGCGGGTGGATTCATCCATCTGCCCCTCCCAATCCAGTTTGGCCCTTCACCTGCAAACACACACACACACACACACACACACACACACACACACACACACCCCGTTTCAGAAAGAACATTCTGTTTGGAGACTACATCCTGGCCTCTTCCCTATCAGTTCACATTAGTTAAGGCCATAGATGGGGTTGGAGTCTCTCTCCCTGGGGTCCCAAGGTCTCTGCTGTTCTGTGCTCCCAGTGTCTGGGTTGGAGGCGCTGCTGGGCACTTGATGGCAAGTGTGGGCACCTCCCCGCAGGACCACTTTCTGGGTTCCCCCAGGCTGCCTTTTGTCTACCCTCTCTAGACCTTGGTCTCCGTAGAGGAAACCAAAAGTCCCTTAGCACCATAACCACTGGCTGCTAAGCACCCTTTCTCTGCAAACCATGACCAAGCACCATGAAAACAGCCCTGTCTTCTCCAAGCATGTACCTTGTGGGTGAGTTAAGAGGAAACAGGGGCCCTGGGAAAAGAAAGAATTTCTCCAAGGCCATCAGGTAAATAAGGGCCGAATGAGGATCTGGATGGAATTCTCAATTATCCCAATACTCCTGTCCTTTTATATTTTCCCCTTTCTACCCTTTATAATTATTTGAAAGAGACATTTACTTTATTTTCTATTACAAAAAGTACATGCTCCAACCATAAAGTTAGAAAGCGTGGAAATGTATGAAGACAGAAGAACCATCAAGACCAACAAATAAAACCAAGTTCAACGTCATTAGCAATTCTTTCCTGCCAGGATGAAGTGCTCCCATTTTAGCTCCTTTCTTTCCAACCTTCTTTTTCTTTGTGTGTATGTGTATGCACACACGGCCACCCCCCCACACACACTCGCAAAATGGAATTACATTGAACATTCTTTTTTGTTTGCAGCTTTTTTCACTTAGCAATGTAATATGAATATTTCCCCACATCAATCATGAGCTCCAGCCCTGGGCTCATTAACTTCTATTCAAGGCATATCCTGCCCAACTCTGTTTTCTGTGTCCAGTCTCACTTCTCCTTTCCGGGCTGTACCCCGGGGCGGGGCGGGGGGGACACCAAACTTCTTTCCAGCAGATTGAGCTGGTTTGTATCCAAGGGACTTGCTTTGCAAGTGGCACATACCTGCATTGTGAATCTGGCAAACTCTACTCAGGGTGGGCTTGTTAACTTGCTCAAAGCCCATCTGAGAGAGAGAGGGAGGGAGGGAGAGAGAGAGATGCTGCTCATCCATGATATAGTGCCCTTCCAGAAGGACACTCCCAAAGGCAGTGTGGCCCCTTCCTCCTCAACAGTTGATTTAGAGCCAGAGGGCTGTATGTGGAAGATAAGCCACGTCCCTGTTAGGACGGCTAACCCTTTGCAGCCACTGCAGTCCCTGTTTCCCAGTGGAAATCAGTTACTAACCTCTGGAGAACAATTCTCAAAGTGAACTTGCATGGGCATGGCAGAGCCCCTGACCTTGAGACCTGAACCACTGACTTTGAGACCTTGAGGCCTGGAGGTGCTAGGTCTTATTTTGCTCAGAGCTGAAAAGAACTATTTTGAGAGGGTAAACATTAACTGAGGGAAAAATGAAGAGTATCTCATTGTTTGGAGGAAATCTCCTGAGCCTCTAGAAATCATCTTAGCCCATGTGTTTGGCTCACATGGTTTCTGCCCAGGATGGCCAGGGTGGGTGGCCTCCCTAGAAAGGACTGTTACCCCAGGAGACAGAGTTTCTAGAGGTGAGCCCTGGTCTTACTAAAAGGGTAAGAAAAAAGATAAAGCAGTTTAGTTTACTCTCTGAACCGCTAGAAAAGGGGAACGCACCAACAACCCATAGCTCTCAAAGGAAGAACTCTGATTCCAACTGGATGACTTGAGCCAGAGGCTGAAGCATTGCCGGAGTTAATTTCTGTAATCAGAGGCAAGAGCATAACCAGGAGTTGGAACCCCCTGAACCTGTGGTTGTTACCTCCTGGATATTTTCTGACATAAAAGGATTCTTTCTGAGTAGGGACCCCTGGCACTAGTGCCAGTATTTCCCAACCCATCCCCATGGCAGACATCACCAGTCAATGCTGGCACCCTCTCCCGTGGAGCCCTGAGATGGCCTCAGGCTCAGGCTCAGGCTCAGCCTCAGGACGATGCTCTCGGCAGCCAGAGAATTAGTTCCTGAATCAGTTCCTTACCCCAGGCAGAAGCTGTGTGCCCAGCTCCCACGGGACAGAACACTCAGAAGAGCCTCAGGTTCGTCTGTTTTCTCTGTAAGAGTGAGGGCGGGAGGTGGCTGGTGGCTGCGGGGAGTGGAGGGGAGGTGGCTGCTAGGGGTGGAGGGGAGGTGGCTGCGGGGGGGGGGGGGGGTGTGGAGGTTGGGGAGGAGACCGCTGTCCCGGCCTTACCATTTTCTGATGTAAGAGTAGGTGCGCCTCTCCTCACCGTCCACAAAGTAGCCCCGCCCCTGCCTCTTCCTAATCCATTCTTGGGACTCTTCCCACCTCGGGGCAGGCAGTGTGAAGTGGGGGCTGGGGAGCCCTTCTTCCCCGAGGCAGGCTGGAGCAGAGCCGGCCCACGGCCCACTGTGCGCAGGGCCCGGCTGGCCGCGCTTCCTGAGAGCCTGCACCCCCCCCCCCCCCCACCCCCCCCCCCCGAGAACCAGCTGGGCCTCTCCATACCCTGCTCTTTTGCTCCTCCAGAAATGGCATGTTCAGTTGCTAGATCTTATTTTTTTTTAAAAAAGATTATATTTATTTATTCATGAGAGACACACAGAGAGAGGCAGAGGCCCAGGCCAAGGGAGAAGCAGGCTCCATGCAGGAGCCCGACGTGGGACTCAATCCTGGATCCCCCGGATCACGCCCTGGGCTGAAGGCAGGGCTAAGTGGCTGAGCCCCCTGGGCTGCCCCAAGTTGCTAGATCTTAATGTAGGGGAGAAAAAGAAGGAAGTAGCAAATGTCCCTTTGCTGACAAAGGTCCCCAATCTGCCACCAAGAGAATTGTTTTGAATTTAATTGTTTTTATTTATTTTAATGAAATATTTCAAATGCCTAAAGGAACATAGGTCGAGAATGGTATTAAAGCAATCAGCCGCATACTTTCTCTGAAGCTTCAGGAATTGACAGATGACCTCTTAAAGAGAAGAGAGTGCTGTGGGCCGCCGCTGGGCCAGGGGCTCCCGGCTCCCCGGAGGATGCCCTTCCTCTCATGGGCAACTGGTCGGCTCTGATTTATCCCCCAGGATGAAGCGTGGCTGTCTGTTCCCTCGAGCTTCTGTTTATTGCCCTGTTCAATCAACCCTGGTGAGGAATAACACCCTCACCGTCGGGGAGCCCCTGGCTTTGGGTCCTGGTCTGTGGGGGCCGGTGGCCCCCATAGCTCCCTGCTGTGCTGCAGCATCAAGGCTCTGCTGAGACCATCCTGGGGTACACCCCCCCCCCCCCGAGCATTTACAACGCTCACCCCTTTAAGGGATTGCGGAGCTCGGTGGTTTTGCTGTTTTCTCCCAGCACGGACGGACGCCGTGGTCCCCTGTTAACCTGGGGTTTGTAGTAGCAGGACACAGGGAGCAGGAGGGCACTCACATGAGCTTTCCAGGCGATGAGGTCCTAGTAAGAGAAGAGCAACGGGCACACATTTCCCAGAGCTGAAGGGGGCTGGACTGTTTTTCAGACGTCAGCACACACGGCGACCCCACTCACCAGGGACCTGGGCTGTGTCCCGTAGCTTGGGGGGCTGGGACCTTGCTCCCATTTGGAAGTTACAAGAGCTGTACTCAAAGAAGCTTTTCACAGAATAATCATAATTATTCTAACAATCCTAATGGTAATGATAATTATTACCCTAATGCCCATCCTGATACTGCATGCTAACACTCCTCAGTAGTAGACCAGTCCAAAGCACACCTGTCTATGCTCTTCTTCTGCTCTAAACCCTTCAGCGGGGGCCCCTGGGTGGCTCAGTGGTTGAGCATCTGCCTTTGGCCCAGGGCCTGATCCTGAGGTCCTGGGATCGAGTCCTGCGTTGGCTCCCTGTGTGGAGCCTGCTTCTCCCTCTGCCTGGGTCTCTGCCTCTCTCTGTGTGTCTCTCATGAATAAAGAAATAAAATCGTGGGGAAATAGAAAAACCCTTCAGTGGTCCCCATTACCTGGGTCTTGGTTAGAAGTCCAAATCTAGGCACTCAAGTCCTCCAAGAGCTCCTGCCTGCTTACTGACCTGCTCACTCCGTTTTGCATTAAATGTTTGCTCTAAAGCTAGAGTTGGCTTCATCTCTGCACATCCTCTTCCAAAGAAAATCAGGCTTTGCTTGTTCCCAGGATGCTTTTCAAATTCCCCGGTCTCTTTGCCTACCTAACCCTCCAACCCACTGGCATGGTACTGTGCTCACGGAGGCCATGTGGACAGCTGTAGGGTGGGAGCTGTTACACTCGTCCTGTGGCTGACTCCCAGCACAGAGACTGCGCCTCTTGTCTTGAGCACGATGCCCACTGCATGGTGACCCCCGTAAGTATCCATCAGTGGACTCGGGCCCTCCTCCCCAGCTGACATGTGGCAGAGCAGGGGTCGAATGGAAGAGCTAATTTCTAAGCTTTTGACCTTCTACTTCCCTGTACTCTTCTCTCCAAAGGAACGTCAATTTCACGGAGTTATTGAGGAGAGCGCCCGACATGCAGTAGGTGCTCAATAAATACTGTTATGGGTGAGCAACCAGGCTGCAAGTCCTCCCACCTCATTTCCTGTTTTCTGTGTCTCTTCTAATCTTTCTGATGCTCTGTCTCCCTCCTCTAGAGTATGTTTCTGGAGGTTTATTTATTTATTTATTTATTATTTATTTATTTTTCAACATTTTATTTATTTATTCATGATAGACATAGAGGGAAAAAGAGGCAGAGACACAGGCAGAGGGAGAAGCAGGCTCCATGCAGGAAGCCTGATGCGGAACTTGATCCCGGGACTCCAGGATCGTGCCCTGGGCCAAAGGCAGGCGCCAAACCGCTGAGCCACCCAGGGATCCCCTGTTTCTGGAGGTTTTTTTTTTTTTTTTTTTTTTTCTGGAGGTTTAAATTGTTGAGTATCCAGTTAGAGTTGAAGCTCCATCAACAAAGATTGGATGCTGGGCTGTCGGGAAGCTTGGCAGGTCAGGTTGGAAAATTAAAATGCTAGTTATGGGCAGCACTTCTGCTGAGAGAAAGGGAGAGAGAGAGAGAGAGAGAGAGAGAGAGAGCATCTGCATGCCGAGGAAGTGCTTGCTGTTCATCAGGGGCAGGAAGACGGACCTTGTCCCCCAGCAGTCTTACTTAGCTACTGGCCTCATCTGGCTGTACTGGTTGCACTCCTACCTATTTCCTATTTGGAAATCATACCTGGATGATTGGTTATACAGCAAAAGACAACTGAGGCACTTTCCAGGAGCAGAGCTGTGTGCTTTCATAGCTCCCCCACTCTGCCTGGAGTCTGCCTGGAGTCTGCCTGGAGTCTGGCCCCTGGAAGGGCCTCCAAAACCATGGATCCCACTCCCTCATTTTATGGAAGGGCCAGCAGAGGGCTGGGGAAGAGAAGTAACTTACTGCAGGTCATGCAGAGAGATAGGGACAGAGCTGGAAGGAAAACATGAGCCTTGCGGGGGCCAGGACAGAACCACATATGTGTGATGCAAGTTGGTAGCAAGTTACCCCCAGTGCTCACACGTTCTCCTGAAGAGACAGCCACCATTCAGCTCCAGCCAGCTGTGGCCATGTGGGACATAGGTCCAGTGAAGGCAGACTGGCTGACTTTTCATAGAAGCCAGAAACAGGATTTTACTGTAAAATCTCTTGATTTTTAAATGTTGGCTAAGAATTCATATTGCATTGACAATCTCCTGGCCATCAAGACTGGCCTTGGGATTTAAGCTTGGCCTGGTCGCTGATCTTAGGCAAATAGTGTTAACCCCCAGGCCTCAGTTGACTCATCTCTAAAATGAGCCTCATGGGGGCTCCTGGCTGGCTCGGTCAGTGGAGCATGTGACTTTTGATATCAAGGTCATGAATTCGAGCTCATGCTGAGTGTAGAGATTATAGGGAGATCACCCTAAAAACAAACAAGCAAACAAATAAATAAATTGGGCCTCATGCATCCTGCTCACTTACTAGGTTGCTGTGAAAACTCCATGAGCTAATGGATCTGAAGTACGAGCTACAGATGGCCCCGTGGCTGTTGCATAGCCTCAGCTCTCTGTGGAGATGCCCTTACAACGTAATGAGTTAACACCCCATTTGTCTAAATTAGAGCAACATTATTTTGGCCATCATGACAGAGATTGCATTTTTATGGCAGGTTTATAAGTTCCAGAATCTTCCCACTTGCATTATCTCAGGATGTTGATGGAGTCAGGCTGGAATAGTGGTTCTGGAGACATTGGCCAGAGCCAAGCCCTTCTTTTGAGCTGGGAGGCACATTCCAACAGCATCTTGAGTGACAGTGAAGACCAAGAGCTTTGGAATCACCCAGACCTGGGTTTGAATCCCTGACTCCCACTCCCTAATTTTGTGTTCTTGGGCTAAAACTCTGAGCTTCGGTTTGCTCATCCATAAAAGGGGTGCCTGGTATGGCTGTTGGGGCAGTTGCATGAGATGACATTATACAATGTTCTTTGGCTCAAGGCCCAACTACACCTAGAAAGAAGCTTGTATAGACTGGACCCGATGGGAACTAGCTGGGATACTGACCCGTGGATTTTCCTTTCCTGAGAACCCTGCTCTGACATGCACAGAGACGTACAAATCTCCCTCAACTGCTAAAAGGGAAGAAGGTCCTGCCCACCACAAGCTTCCCGGTTTCTGGACCTCTGTCTTTTAGCAATTGCCCTCTTTGCTCTGCAACTGCAGGGCATCTTCCCACTGAGCCGAGAGTAATTAGTGGGCAGGGAGGCTGACGTTGTCCAACTGTCTCTGAGCCTCCCAGCCCTGCCATGAGCGAGGCAGCACCAGGGCTCGTTAGGGCCACGGCCACTTCAAAGACATCGCTGTGCTCCCATAGACAGGGCGGCTCTGACATTTCAGGGGAACCAATGAGCTAATGAGCCAGAGAGCTTTCTGGTGCCGGAGGGATCTTCTTACCAAAAGAAGAAATCCATCCCAGATATGAGTGTCCAGAAATTTATTGGAAATGTCCAGTTGAGGGCACATACTAACCCCCTGCTTCGTTTTGGTGCGACCGGGCCGCAGGCTCCCTGTCTGTCCTGGGAGAAGATGCCTGAGTAATTCTGCCTCAGCAGGAGGGGCTGAGGGCCGGGATTCTCTTTCCTGGAACTGCCCCAGGGCCAGGAGGGAACAGACCGGTGTCTTCTAACAAGCCCAGGCACAGGTCAATGAAAAAGCCCGGGTGGCCCAGTGTTAAGTGTCTGCCTTTGGCTCCAGGCGTGATCCTGGAGCCTGGATGAGTCCCACATGGGCCTCCCCACAGGGGGCCTGCTTCTCCCTCTGCCTGTGTTTCTGACTCTCTCGCTGT